ATGATATGCACGCGGTTGAATTTCTCGTCGTTCCTCTTTCCTCGCGTAAAATGGCATTCCTCGTTGCGTCTCTAGCTCGTAAAATGACAAACTCGGCCCTCGCATCTAATACCTGCAGTCTTGCAAAGTCGCAGCGGACCAGTGGCGGAACCAGGTCGGAGGTCTTGGAGGGGCACATAATAGGAAAAGAGAAGGTCTCCGACAAGGCGATCTATCTAATCACGCTGGGAATAACGCTGCATACGGTAGCTAACCCGATGAAGAACAGTTTGGAATCATTCGTTCTAACTAACTAGTTAGGAGTCCTAATTAATTGACCATCCATTTTCACTCTTCTCCCAAAGAATTGACATCTCTACCAATGTCTCGTTTTAGAATTTAATTTAGTTAACTAATAGTTAAATAAAAATTTCATGTTGGGGTGAAGTAACAAATTATTTAACTAATTTAGAGCAGGGCTGGCCCTGAGAAATAGGAGTCGTTGTTCAAAAATGAGATATGAGGCCCTATATATCAACAAAATAGAATACTAATAATGAAAGAAAAAGCAATTTTAAATGTTGTAACATTACTACAAAGTCTAGACTAAATTCAATCTGCCCATCGACTAATATATACTCTGTATACTATGAATGATATGATATCACAACCATATTTTTTAATCCGGGTTCGTATTTCTATTTCTACGAAGCATTGTAATTTCTAAAAAGTAAAAGAGTTAAGAAATAACAATTAACAGATAATAAGTACGTAGCATAATCAATTACAGAAAAATTGGGAAGAAAAACACCATAAGAAATAGAGATCATCTGACTGGTTTAACTCAATCACCGTTTCTCAGTAGATTGTGGAACACCAAACTGCCAAAGGCATCAAGACTCAACAAAATTCATAAATTGAATTTAGAAGCTCTAAAACCACAAAGCCAAAAACCTGAACAACCGAACAGAAATACAAAAGAAAAGGGAAGATTGCATAAATAAGGAGGTCTGAACTCTGAAGAAGAGACCAGAGTATTGAAATTAAGTAGAAGACAACTTGTTCATCTGCTATATGTAGTACTCCGTATATAGCCGTATATATTTCTATTATTAATATATACTAGTATATATATTACCAAAAATTATATACATCAAATAAACTATCACCAAAAACCTTCATTATGCATTTATGCACTATATAAAAAGTGATTTTATAAAACGTACTACGTACTTCGTATAACTGAAAGTAATTTACCATTGAATCAACAATATAATACGTAGTAAAATGGGGATACTATACTAATTAAGTTTTCTCTCTCTTTTTTTTTCACTATACTAATCAAGTAATTAAATAATGCGGAGTATAAGACATCGCGAGTACCTTGTGGTCTGATGGCATCACCGCTGATCTCCCAAAAAGGAGGTCGTAAGTTCGAGTCTCATCCTAATCAAGGATGTTGGCATCAACAAGAGCAGATACTATAATAGGTTTAGAAGAATGTTCTAAAAAAAGACGGCATATCACTAGCACAGTGTCGTTCATATAAATATTCTCTTAAAAAGATGACACCCTATCCTTAAGGACTCTATAAAACTGACCTGAAAGTTATTGAGAAAGATATAAATTGAGTTTTGATCACTCTGTTGGAAAGATAGTACGGTTTCATCCTAAATCATTGCTTAAAATTGAACTCTTAACCTCTACGTCATTGTACCCTCTGTTTGCCATGTGAGATATTCCCCATGTCCTATTAGCTGTTGTCCGTCTTCCTTTTTTATTTGCCTAAAACTTCTTATCATTTTCTTTTTTGAATAAATAATTTAGTTTTCTGTTCATTTTTGGATGAATTGAAAAAAAATCACATCTATTTCCGGTCTACCGTTAATAATTCCAACTATTGATAATTTTTTTATGATCCAATTACAGGGATTATTTTCCAAAAAAAACCTAACCGCTTACAATATGGTATAACAGGTCAATTTTAAATGTTGACTATATGCAAGCTTTAAATAATCCAAATGACTGCTAACCTTTTTTTATTAAACCCAACTATCAACTCTCAATCTTCGGAAGATATAGAAATATTTTTATAAGTTTCCAAACTAAATATTTTTAAACATGTATAAAACAACTACAAAAATCATTTAAATGTATTGAAGTTAAATAAAATATTTCTAGTCATTTTTTGATTTATTTTCACTTAAACTTTATTTTTTCCTTTTTACCAATTTATCATTTTGTATTAGTTTCCTTTATTCAAATTTACATTATCTATTTTCAAAAAGTAAACAATGATTCAAGTTTTTTAAAACAATGTTTAAAATTGACATGATATATTAGGTTGTAACCTATTATGGATTATTTTTAAAAAATGATCTCTATAGTTGGGATCACTCTGAAATAATTGATAGTTAAGATTATTAAGGACGGATGGACACTAGTTAGAATTATTATTTTCAATCTTCCGGATCCCTTATTTTCCCTCTTTTACATAATTTTCACCCACATGGTTTAAAATGATAAATACTCCCTTCTTTTTATTAGTCATTCTTTCCTTTTTGATACGTTGTTTTTATTTGTCCTCTTTTCTGTTTAAGAAAAGTTTTTGAGAAAATACCCTCACTTTTATTACTTTTACCCCACTTACTTTTTACAAACTACTTTCTCTTTCCTACTTTACCATCACTTTACTCTTCTTAATACACTCTATTTCCTATTTTATCATCACTTTACTCTTTTTAATATACCATCTTTTCCACTTTATCATTTATCCTAAATACTCTATACTTACTCTACTACTTTATTATTAAAACTAGTGCCAAACTCTAAGAGGACTAATAAAAAAGAACGATGAGTGTGTGGTCTAGTGGATTATATCATTATATACTCCCTACCTCACGTCATTTGTTTCGGATCAAATATGAACATGATTACATGACATCAATGATAATGAAGAAGAGAGAAATGAGTGATTATGGGTCCATCGTATATCTATGGACCCCCAAAAAACATAAATATCTCAGCTAAATCTGTTAGGGAATTTTGTAACAACTATTAATTGTCACTAGCCAACAGCTTTCTCAAGGTGTCCACGCCACACCATAGCCAAGTTGACGAGTTGTGCATATGTTTTCTCGAAAATTTTGTGGAATAATGAAGTCATATACTCCCTCCCATCCATAACAAAAAAATGGGAGAAAGACTCTAATAGGACTAAAACATTACCTCTGAACTTAAATAGGACCGACTACTTTTAAATACCTAAGTAGGACTAAAATTAATTGGAGGGACAAAAATACCCTTGATTAATACGGAGCATTCTTTGTGGCTGAGGGCATTGAATTTTCAAGAGATCGAAGAGTAGAAGTTGTATTGGATTTTTAATTTCCACTCCGCAATTAGCAATTGCATTACTCGATTCGTATACCGCCAATGGGAGTTGCCGCAACCACTGCAGTCGTAGCCAGCCGTCGGGAGCAGCCGACCGCCGTCCACCACCACACACTGTTCCGCAAAAGCTACTCCTCTTTGTCCTCCCGCGTGGTCTTCTTTCTGAAACGCCAAAGATAAAAGCTGCCCTAGCTGAGCAACCGCAGCGCCTAAATTAAAGGACTCTGTAGGATATTGGCCGGTTGGAGTACTAGTGCTGCTCTCCTTTGGCGTGAATAGTTTTTTTTTTCAATTTTACTTTTTGTTTTGCTTGTTTGGACATTCTCTTCTCTAGTTTTCTCCTTTTTCTTACGGTTTTAATCTTCTATTCATCTTATGTGATTGTTCTTCTTCCCTGCTATTGTTTTGATTTTAATCGCAGCGCTTCAAGTAGTTTTTTTAGTGGAAATTTGGATGGGCGGTGTTTGTTAGCTTATGCATCGTGCCTGTGAAGACATCTCTGGAGTTATTGCGCGCTGGGCATGTTCAATTTTGGAATAGTTTGGCAATAAGAGTTAGCGCGCTGGGCTTGTACCCACTATTGTACCCACTTTTGTACCCACCATGCCTTCATAGACATATTTTTGTCTATGACCGGGATTCACAGACAAAAAGAAAACTCCTCACAGACATGGTGGGTACAAAAATGGGTACAATAGTGGGTACAAACAAATTTTTCCATACCGAGATACATTAAACTTGCACTGCCAAAATGGTGCAATAATGGCATTTGGCAAAGAAAAACCCCAATTTAAAATGATACTCTGTATCACAATCTCAAATATTACCATAATATTACCATATTACCCCAATTTAAGATTGTGAATGTCACAATCTCAAATGTCATAAAATGATACATATTGTATCAATATGTAGAGAAAATGATACAATGTCAAAGAGATAGTCACAAATAACAATAACAATGTCACTACTATAAAAATGACATTGTAGTAATGACAATGTCAACGATTATCATAACATTGTCAATTCTATAATATTATATTAGACTGGACCGTGCGCACTCCTAATAAAATTGGCGTTGTTAAAAACAACATCAGTGCTATAAAAAATCAAAGTGTATATATATAGAAAAAATATTGTTGACAAATGTATGATAACTTATTGACAATGTAATGATACACAATGTCATTATATGATAATGTAATCATTTACTTGTTTGAAAATTAATATCTTTGAGTAAACTAAAACTAAAACAACTACTCAAAAAGACAATAAAAAATGTGTCAATGTTGACTTAATTTATTAACATTTTTATTACTAACAAAATGACATTGTGATACTGTGACATTGTAATATTGTAACATTGTCATGTCATTGTAATATTGGGACATTGTCATGTCATTGTAATATTGTGACATTGAAATATTAATATTGTGACATTGTCGAGAACTGTCATTAGTTCGCTAACCAAATTGTGATATTGTAACATTGTCATTCCATTGTAAAAAATTGACAATATCTGAAAACTATCAAAATATCGAAAAACTGTCACAATGTCAAATAATAACAATGACAATGAAATAAAAAATGACATTGTTAAAAACAATGGCAATGATATAAAAATGACATTACTTACAATTTTGTCTTCACATTAATATTATTTATTGTATATGACATTGACAAAGAAATCCACAATGGGGTGAGCTTCTATCTCATATGGATAATTTTATACTACGTGTTTTTGTTCTCGAGGCTCTGGTTTTACGGAAACTCTCTTTGCCCACCCACAAACCCTGAAACCCTGAATCCAGATTAGCCAGAGTGAACCATAACTGCTTTGAGAATTGAGAGAATAAGAAGCATCACAATCGAGAAGAATTTGAAGAAGAGGGCCGCGCGGGTTGTTGTCTGGTTCCGCAACGGGGATTCAGACTCACCTGCAAGTCGCCGCCGCCTAGCTGGCCGGCTAGGATGAAAAAGGCCGGATCAGAAAATCAAATCTTCGGAAAACGGTGAAGTGCATCACCGGACTATGCGCAGACGATTCCCTCATCAATCGTTCTTTGGCAGCAGGGGTAATTTAGGGTGCCGAGAAAAATTTAGTCGTATTTAAGTATAAAAAAGATCCAAGTCCTATTTAGTTACAATAGCTTTATTTTGGTCCTATTTGGAACCATTCCTCCAAAAAAATCTCTCCACTTTCCTTTTCATTCGTAACAAAAAATCTTTCAACCTCTAAATCTTTCTATCATATCTTTAATAATTCTGAAAATAATACACTATTACAACTAGAGCCCGTTTGGAGACCCCTTTTTTCGGCTTATCAGGCTTATCAGTCAGCTTTTTCACCAAACACGTAATTTTTACTTTCGCGTGCTGAATTGTGTAATAAGCAGAAAAAGTAAGGTTGAAGTTACTTTTCTGGTTGTATTGGCTGAAGTTACTGTAGATGACCATTTTAGCTATTTTTACATGTAATTTTTTCTTTATTTTATTAATAAAATATATTTTTAAAATATTTTTTTCTAGAATCAGCAGAATCAGACAAAACAGCCACTTCAGCCAGAACTTCATAAATTTCAGCAGAAACAGCCAAAACAGCCGATTTTCGTGCTACCAAACGGGCTCCTAATGTTTTTGGATTTATCCTACATTCCATCAAATTATTTCACTATCTTACCATCATACTCTCAATAATTCATATCATCTTTCACTATTCTTAATCTACCTACTTTTGAAGTAGGAAGGTTTTTAAGTTATGGAGGAAATAAGTAGGAGTTAACACATGTGGCATCATCACAACCATTCATGATTCGATTATGAAATGGAGTAATCTATTATGGAGTACAAATACACTATATAAATGAATGGTTGATCTGAGGTCACATGAGCTATATGATTCCACAGTGGAGTCATATAGGGTTCCATAAATTTTTTGTATACGATCTTCTATTTTATACTAATTAATAATTGATCACTAAATCTTGGTAAGGGTCTATTTGCAACAGCTTCTGCTTTTAAAAAATTGCTTTTTTTAATGAAATGGGGAGAAGTGATTAAGAAAGTGTTTGTGATTGCTTCTACTTTAAAAAAGTGATTTTTTAAAGTGATTTTGGATAAAGTACTTAATAGTAAAAGTTGGTAGTGTTTGATAAAAAAATGATTCTAAAAAAGTAAAAGTTGGTAGTGTTTGGTAAAATAAGTACTTCTTGTGTAATAGAAAAAAGTGAAAAGCAGTTTAAAGCACCCTTCCACCTGCTTCCAGCTTTTAGCTTTTAAGTGATTAATTTAATCAGAAGCTGTCATTTGAAAACACTCTTTTCAGCTTTTTTAAACGGAAATTGTCCTAAATAGGACTAATGAGTTCCTAAAAAGCACAAATAGGACTACTACTTTTTAAATTCCCTAAATAGGACTAAACATAGATTTTCTACCCTAAATACCCCTAAGAGTATTAATTCATAATGAAATGCTTTAATTCATAATAAAATCATAAAAAACGTAAAAAATATTTAAAAAACGTAAAAAAAATTATAAAAAATTTATAAAACATTTATAAAATAAAAAATTTAATTTTTATTTTTTTAATTTTTTTTTAAAAAATAATAAAAAATAGTAAAAACCCATAAAAAAATGAAAAAAATTATGGATACATTTCCCACCGCCATCCGCCGCCTCCCAGCACCACCACCTCCGATTGGTGAAATTTCTTCCACTTTTGGTAAAAAAATGCCATCTTTTTCTGAAAATGCCAAAAAGATGGCATAATTACTCTTCAATATGCCAACATTTTCATTGAATATGCCATCATTATGGCATTATTTAAAATGTTGGCATATTTTTCTCCGGTGATGGGAGCTGGTGGTGCTGGGGGTGGTAATGTTTTTTTTTTTTAATTTTACGATTTATTTTTATTTTTTATTTTTTTTTTTAAAATATTTTTTTAAAATTTTTTAAAAAAATATTTTTATTAATTTTCTATTATCTTTTTACGATTTTTAGTATTTTTTTTCGATTTTTATTATTTTTGTATGATTTTATTATTAATTAAAACATTTCACAAGTTACAAGGGTATATTTGGCCACACACATAAATAGTCCTATTAAGGGAATTTAAAAAATGTAGTCCTATTTGTGCAATTTTGCCACTTTTTAGTCCTATTTAGGGAATTGACTCTTTTTTAAAGTCAAAAGCTGAAAAGCGCTTTTTTAATGCAACTGCAAACACTCCTTAAATAAAAGTTGATAGTGTTTGAGAAAAAAGTGATTTTGAAAAGTAAAAGTGGGTAGTGTTTGGTAAAATAAGTGTTTTTTGTGTAATAAAAAAAGTAAAAGCACTTTTGACGCGGAAGCCGAGAAAAATAAAAGTTGTAGTATTTGGGAAAATAAGTTCCTTTTTAAAGCCAAAAGTTGAGAAGTGCTTTTTTAAAGAGAAAACTGTCAAATAGGTCCTCGAACTTTCATAAAAAAGTCAATTAAGTCCTTCTATAGGAGACTCTGTCCGGTCGTCACGATTTGGGGCGGTTCCCGGTGGAATTTTTTGAGGAAATTTTTGAGCATCTTATTCATCAAGTCTAGTTTACTCATACCAAATGTCAGCTAAAAATTTAATCGGGAGCGCACTCAAATTAATTCGAGAACGCAAAAATGCGCAGTTATCTTCAAGAATTAATTTGAATGTGTTCCCGATTGAATTTTTAGCTAAAATTTAGTATGAGTAAACTAGACTTGGTGAATAAGATGCTCAAAAAATTTCATCAAAAAATTCCACCGGGAACTGCCCCAAATCACGACGGCCGGACAGAACGTCCTATAGAAGGACTTAATTGACCTTTTTATGAAAGTTCGAGGATCTATTTGACAGTTTCCCCCTTTTTAAAAGCAGTTGCAAACCAACCCTAAGTTACTCGGGGATACTTGTAGGCAAAGTTTATCTACAATATTAAATTTTTACACAAATTATCTAACCAAATGCAATAGGTTTTAAATCACGCTAGTCAAGCCATTTTGACAATCCGAGTGTAAGAAGGGTATTATATATGATCGAATTCGTATAGAGGTTTTTGATCAGTACATTCTTAGAGATTATACAATGTTGAATCCATAAAGTTTTTAGTTATGAACGAATTTTGTCAATTTATGTAAACTTATTTTGAATGCTATTTGTCAATATTGTAGAAAACAAAATTTAAACAAGAACTATGTTGGGAGTGTTTGCAATTGCTTCAACTTTAAAAAAGTTATTTTTTAAAGTGATTTTGGGAAAAATGATTAATAGTAAAAGTTGGTAGTATTTGAGAAAAAAGTGATTCTGAAAAAATAAAAGTTGGTAGTGTTTGGTAAAATAAGTACTTCTTTGTGTAATAGAAAAAGTGAAAAGCAGTTTAAAGCACCCTTCTACTTGTCTTCCAGCTTTTAGCTTTTAAGTGATTAATTTAAGCAGAAGCTGTCATTTGAAAACACTCTTTTCAGATTTTTTAAAGCCAAAAGCTGAAAAGCACTTTTTTTAAGCAACTGCAAACACTCCTGTTCTCTAACATACATAAATTTAACCATCACAAGAGGTCAACTAATAAATGATTATACTAAGTGATGAGAAATAACAATAAAATCTTAAAAGAAATAAATGTACGTAATTCATACTCCGTAATTCATTTAGTAATATCTGGTCAATCATAAATGAGAAATTGCCCAAAATAAGACAAAAAACGTTTGTTTATTTCAAAATAGGACTATAATGTTTTTATTCCAAAAATTGGACGAATTAGTGTCATATTTTGGCAATACCGAACTTTAAACATTATACGTAGTATTTTCCAACTTGACAATAATTACTCCTATTTTGAAAATTAAAACATAACAGTTATATTTTAAAATTTGCAAACTTTTTTACTCCTATTTAGAAATTATTTCCCATAAAGTAATCATATGTCTCCTCGTTGATATTTTTAGGTGGGTTAGAATTCAAACATGTAATCTTAATTAACATGAGAAATGTCGAAAGCAGGGGGTGGAACTGTGGAAGAAGTCACATAGATATGGTTAAGCAAAGCTAAATCATTAACGGCGCTATATTTGCATGCGGAAATCATATACGGAGTATACGGATTTGATAATCATAAATTGTCCATAATTAGCACAATTTGATAAAAAATCAATACCGTCTCTTAAATGATTGTCCCACACCGGAAAACTATAAAAGCATAAAACAATAAAAGACTATATAAGATTTTGAGACACTCCTTTTATCAAGTTAATGAAACCCTGGATTTTAAACTGTCATATATATAATGTTTGCTAATACTTCCTCCGTAACATTCATATCTTTTCACTTTTCTTTTTCATCCGTAACATTCATATATTCTCATTTCTAAATCTTATCATCATACTCTCAATAATTTTGAAAATGTACACAACTACATTTTTGGATTTATCCTTCATTTCACCACAATATTCTCTCATTTTTACATCATACCTTCAATAATTTATATTTCCTTTCACTATTCTTAATCTCATCTACTCTCATATGGGAAGATATCAATATTACGGATATAGTAATAAATATGATAATATAATTTTACGATGATAACAATCGTGGTATAGTCAAGTTAGGGTCTATGTCAGGTCGGACCGGTACAAAGAGTTTTTTGGAGAAACATTTGCATTAAATTTATACACTAACAAATAAAGATTTTTGAAATTTGGAGTTGGTGGAGCCAAGCATGCCCCCAGCCCCCTTCACCTTACCTGATACTCCTATCACATATATCTTCCCACTTCCAAAGTTGGTGAGATTAAGAATCGTGAAAGGAGATACTCCGTATAAATTATTGAGGGTATGATGAGAACATAATGAAATAATGTGCTGGATTGAAGGATAAATCCAAAATAATAGTTGTAATAGTGTATTATTTTTAAATTTATTGAGGGTATGATGAGAAAATTTAGAAATGAAAAGATATGAATATTTGAGTATCACACTATGTCACAATCTTCACTCTTATTTTGGGATATTTTTGGGCAATATTGAAAGGAATTTGCTACTTGCTAGCTAACTGTTACATTATGACTAGTGAACAAGTCATATGATTACAGGTTAAAGGATAAGAATAGTCAAGGTTTCCTTCATAAATAGTGTCGAATTTTGCTGGAATACAATCGACTAAAACTCGAGCTTATCAAGAATAGTCAACATTGCCTTCATCAATAGTCATCAGTCGAATCTCAAGCGACATTGACATACACAATCTTGTTGGATAGTAGTGTCAAGTGTGTAGGTAGAGTTAAGTCACATTATTGATTGTGCAAGTTTTATGACCCCCACATATTTAATTTGCTAGGTACCCCGTACTAAAGAAACACACACTTTTGTATTTGTCTTTCTCCAATGGCATTCAAAACATTGTCACATAAAAAACCTTTTATACTTTAGTTGGTTTAAAAGTATTCATTCATAGTCCCGAAATTACATTTCCACTTCTCTTGTTACGATGTCCCATAACCAAATTCTGCTTCTCTTTTTGATAACATTCGCATGGTAAAATACTCTTTATAATTATCCCTATGAAAGGTGCATCATAACAAAAAAGTGCAACATTAATTATTAACTTTCTCGTTTATACTTTTGATGAAAGACATGTTGAGAGTCCTCAGATACTCTAAAGTCAAATTAGGAATTTAATCACATGACGGGTGTAATATTTACTACCAAGCTTAAATTTAAAAGTTATAATTGTACAACATTTATCGTACTATACTCAAGGATTTAGTAGAGGTCAATTGGATAAAAGTAGTGAAGTTGAGTATTTACATCTCAATCGAATTCTACCTAGAGGCCTTTTTCCCGAAATTTCACTTATGGTCCTTCGAGTATTGCACCAATTCTGCAATTAGTCCTCGTCATTTACTTGATCTATTTTTGGTACTTGACTATTGTTTTCTTGACAATATATAGTCCTTTTATGGTAGTAAAAATGTCCACAGATGGACCGAAAATGGTTAAGAAAACAATAGTAGGTACCAAAAATGGATAAAATGAAAGATGAGGACTAAATATGGACATGACACAAAACTCGAGGGACCTAAAGTGAAATTAATTCTTTTCATCACCATAACCCTTCCCTTAAAGTTTGGAAGACGGAGTTTAACATTAATCGTTTAAGAAGTAAAATGGTGTGATAAATATTACGGAGTAAATGATAAAATACAAGTTTTGTGAGCTGAGCCATATTATTACTCCCTCCTTGATAGTACGTGTGAGCGAGATATCATTAGCGATCCCGCATTACGAAAGCCAATCATTGAATATGTGACTTGATATGCACTAATTAGTAGTGCATAAATGTGTCTTTTTATGTTTGATTTGTGTGGATTGTTTACCATTTTATTTAGTTTATAAACATTTGTGTGATTTTAGTTGTAATTGTATTTTAGTTCTCATTTGTAAGTTGTAAAGTAGAGTTAGGATTTATGGTGTTGGAAAGGAAGACTTTGAATGTGAAGAAAAATAATTCTTGGCTGCCCAGGACAATCACCCGGTCGGGTGAGGTATTGCACCCGGTCGGGTGAGAAATTTAAATGCGAAACTGCTCAGGAAATTACATCACCCGGTCGGGTGAGGTATTTCACCCGGTCGGGTCCGACTTGACCCGGAACACCAGAACGTGCCGAAGATCGCCAGAACGTGGAAGATATTTGATTTTGACATGCACCCGGTCGGGTGGGCACTTTACCCGGTCGGGTACCCGGCCAAAGGTGTTGAAAAACACCTATAAATAGCCCCATTTTCCTTCACAAATGATCAACTCCTTCTTCCATACTCTTAAGCTCAACTTAGAATAGTATTTCTTTTATATTTTTTTAGCATGTTTAGTCTCCAAATGAGGAGCTAAACTTCCATTTCTTGGTGTTGCTCTTGAAGCTTGTTGATTATTAAAGTTGTGAGTTATTTTCTTAACTTCTTCCCTTGAATATTAATTATTCTTTTAATCTATCTATATATTAATGTTGGGGAGTGTTGCTAAGATGACAATTAGTTAACATCTCGACATTAGTTATAGTAGTATTTATTTTCTTCCTCTATATATTAATGTTGGGGAGTGTTGCTAAGATGACAATTAGATAACATCTTGACATTAGTTATAGTAGGATTATTCATATTTAATCTTCTTCCTTGAATATTAATTCTTCCCTTAATCTATCTCTATATTAATGTTGGGGAGTGTTGCTAAGATGACAATTAGTTAACATCTCGACATTAATTACTACTAGAAACGATCAACGAACCGATGGTTAATCGTTGATGGTTTCACAAGTAAGTAACTTTGGTTTATTAATGCACGGTCGTGGTTAATAAACTTAAGAGGGATTAATTTTGTTGGTTAAACCGAAACCGTTGTGTTGAGGTTATCAATCTCAATTGATTTCATCAAGGAGTTAAGAGATTAAATGCTACTATTAAGTCGGTATATGGCGGTGTTCTATACTTGACTAATAGTAAGGGTTATTAATGAACGGTCGTTGTTAGTAACTACTCTCGATGAATTGGATATACTCCTCGATTGAGTATTTGAGAGGGGATAAGTTATAGATATAACAATGATCGACTAAAATATATCAACAAGTGGAAAGTAGCAATGCCAAGTCCTTTTTATCTTTGAATTAAATCACATATAACTCGTTCATCTTCGTGTTTTATTTAATTAAATCATTCAACCCAAAACCCCCCTTTGTTTACTCCTTTCGTTAAAAAGATAAATTATTCCTTTCCCTGTGGATACGAACTCTACTTCACCTATACTACGTATAAGTGTTAGTATTGAATTTATTTTGAGTGCACTCACGACAAAGTGCACGTCAAATTTGGCGCCGTTGCCGGGGAAAGGAAATTATTTTTCTTTTTATTTTATCTCATAAAAATAAAAAAAAAAAACAAAACAAAAATTTAAAAAAAAAAATCTTACTCTTCTATTTCTGAGCTTTCATGAGTATATGGATACCAAACTATCATCCCTAGAGAGTCAAATTTCCG